ATCCTACCGGGATTAATATTCTCTCAGACTAAAAGTCTACTCGGATCAATCGATCCTATTTTACGCCTGAATGAAAAGGAGATGTCCTCTTCATAGCGTTTAAAGTATATAAAAGGGCCCTCTTTTATATAAAAGTTAGACACCCAAAGGTGCAACATTAAGACATCGCACATATAACGATGCATCCAAATATATATTTTAATTCTAAAAGACTAAGTATGAGCACTCAAATAATTTTTTAAAGTGCCAAGAAAAATTTATACTCGAATAAATTCCCTAAAATGCCAAATAATGATATTAGACCCAAAAGACACAAGGAACACTGTATTATTTCCGGTCTAGGTTACAACCCTTCTGATGAAATAAAAGGGTTAAGTAGTCATCATCTAAAATATATACCTTCGAGTCTCGTATGTTTTTTCTTTTCAGGAAATGGACCACATGGAAGGAATAATCAAATGCTCGAGATTTCATACTTCAAAGCTCTAACACTTGGGGGACTATATATATGAAAGGCAAAGAAGACTAGAAAAATCATAATTCAAGTCAAGCCTAAGGTCTACCCAACAAATCGAAAGTTAAGAGCAAAGTTACGAGCCAAAAACACAAGCCTGTTTCAAAAACCTATGAAGAATACACTCATGGATGTAAACTTCAAAATCTTACGAATGTTTAGATTAAAAGCAATATTTAATCATGGGTTGCAAGATATACCCTTGAATTTTTTACAAATCTGTTGTAAAGAAAACAGTTACGAAAGACTTATAGATGATACTTAAATACATGTAAACTATTATATAAGTCGAAAGATAGAATGATACAAAAATTTCCTCAAAGTTGTTCAAAGAAACATGTGTGTTCCTATTTCTTCTTTCTTATGTTTACACCATTATGAGTTGAGAGGTCTTCTTCATTAAGTGTCGTTCATAAAAGGGCCCTCTTTTATAATTCGTGCTTATTCAAAAAAGTCACGAAGCATTGAAGCATTTTTTATGCAAAGTTAAAGGGTGAAACAAAAACCCAGACATTAAAATAGGCAGAAAATAAAGCCGAAATTTATATATCAAACTTTGCAAACATAAGGCAAAGATTTGTCTTCAAACCCCGAAACAAGACAGGGGTAAACCAACAGATTATTGACGTAAGGAATATAAGTGGTGGGGTTACCATTTGAATCTCTAAGTTCTGCACTCTTTTTTCCATCGTCCGGTTTTTGTCCCTATTGGATTTTTCTGGCAAGATTTTTAATGAGGCAGAGGCAAGGATGAAAAGGATAAAATCTTCCACTTTCCGGTCACATCATAGTGAGTAACCGAAAAGTGGGGGGATTATCTGTATTAGTAAAAATTACACTCGCCATGTGGGTCCATTAAATGACGACACGTGTCAGTAAAGTTTGAAGAAAAGTGAAGAATGACATGTAAAGATGATATGTGAAATACCCTCGGGACCGAACATACTCGTACCGTGCCTATTAGCCTCGGAACTGATCATCATGAAATAGCCCGGATCAGGTGCGGAAGAATATCTCATAATTACAAATGAGGAAGGAATCAATTAATCCCGGATTATATGGGATTTACCATCATTACACCATCAATTACAAATCAATTATTAATAAATGCAATAAATGATTGTAACGGTCAGAACAAGGCAATCAATTACGAGATTGACTCAACATGCACGAGATTGATTCAACAGGCACGAGATTGACTCATTAGTTACGGAATTAACTCATCAGTTGTGGAATTAACTCATCAATTACGGAATTAACTCATCAGTTACGGAATTCCAGCATTTACACAACTGTTACAAGTCTTCCAAAAGTAATGGATGGATTGAGTAAATACTCATAATGGACCCATAATTCAAGGAAAATGGTTACTTAGATTTAGCCCTATAAATAGACATACTTTTACCACTATCAGGGGAATCTAATTTTCTTCTCTACAATTCTATACATTGTAATTCATAGCATCTTGCTCCCAAGTTAGCCATAATTCGGCCCTTCAAGCTCTGTTCGGCTCGTTATCCTATTAAGGATCATTCAATAAGAATTCTTTCTTCTCTGTTTTATTTTTATTATATTATCTGTCATTGAATTTATTTCTCACTTCTCTATCACATTGTATTAAATTTTTTTTATATCTTTCGGATTGAATCAGTTGTTTGCGGCCCGTCACATAAAATTATTGCTTTGACCTTAAAAAACTATTTTTTGGGTTAAACACCTATAACTAGGGAATTCAAAATGTTACAGCTCCAATTAGCAGTTGCCGAGAAACAAGATAACTGTAACTTAACTATATGTTTGTAAACATGAGATTTTTACGTGTATGTTCTACATTATAAACTTATTTATTCTCTTAGAGAAATCACATAATTACATTTTCATATACAACACTAACGACCAGTAAAATCTCATAAGTGGGGTCTGAGAAGGGTAGTATACACACAGACCTTACCTCTATCAAAAAAAATTATAACATATATATATATATAAGTGGGGTCTGAGAAGGGTAGTATACACACAGACCTTACCTCTATCAAAAAAAATTATAACNTGTAGCAAGGTTTACATTATTTTGCTGGAAGCTTAAAATTAAATAAGGTCTAAAATTTGATATTAATGGAGTTTAAAGCAGAGCAGTTAATAGAGCGTTTTATCATATGGTCTGGTTTGGGTGACATTGAAGTAACAATTCTCGAAGTAATGAAAGACTCATGTATAATTTCAATTAAACTGAAATTTAAAACTAAAAACTAAATGAGACCGTTAAGACATGAGCTTAAACTCCACTAACAGCCATTAAAAAAGCTTCTCAACTTTGAATTCGAAATTAAATTTTATGAAATTATTATTTGTTTGGGTTGAGTGTTATTATAAATGATTGAAAAGATCCTTTGGAGTATATTTTCAATTTAATATTGTCCAAATTTTATTAGGAAAAATCACTTATACCATTGCGTCATTTTATTCTGTTTTTTCAGTTAATTTGCCATGGTTTATTTACTCTATACATTGAGTGGTATCTAGGCCGCTAAAAGAGATGAGGGGGTTGGTTTAACTGTTCCTATTTGCCTTTCCTCACATTTTTCCTGTACTTAAAAAATTAAATGAATCATTTCCACTTAGTCGGAAAATTTTCTGAAAACATGGATATATTAGTAGAAGTCCATAAGTTTAAAAAAGAAAAAAAAAGGATATCAGAGTGAGTTACGTAAATGAAATGAATGAAGAGTTGAAAGCAAGCGTATGCTTTAGGCGGCTTTTAATATTCGTAGAAGCTTTGATCTATAAAGATATATAGTTAGGTCCAACCGAACACATCCATTATCAAAGGTTCCTTTAATTTGTGTTCGAGACCTTTGGAATATCTTTCTAGTTTTTGTATATGTACAAAAATGATTATTATATCCTTTTCTTGATAAATCGGGCTGGACGAAAAGATATTTATGTGTGCAATTTAAGCAATACACTTACTCTTCAAGAAATTGTGACTAAAATTGTGACTAAATATTTATATTTAGCGTGTAAAGTTTGATAAAGAAACATTGAAACCTTTTTGCTACTGCCAACGGTCATATTCGCCGACTTCTCAAATCTCGCCGCCGACGAGCTTCTGTCAGAAATCGGTTTGCTTCTTCTCCTAATCTTTCCTATTTATTTTAGTCTTTTTCCTTTTCTTCCATTTCTTATTTTCTCCTTCATACTGCTTCGTGAATTAAACTAACACTTACTCTAATTGTTTTAAGAAATCTGTTATTACTCATTCTTTGATTTGGTGTTTTCAAGAGTTTAGTCGTCGTTACCGGATATTGCCGAAAACCTCGCCGGAGAATAATAAGCAAAATCTCCGTGCTTCTGGCCACAACAGTTTCGTAAATTCTTTGTTGTTTATCCTATGCTTTTGTTGGGTTTCAAAATATTTAAGCTTAAGTCTCGGTAACTTGTTATACTTCCACTTAGCCAATCTATTTTGGCATTTTCCACATAAAACTATTATTCTTGGCTCTTGCTGCTGTTGACCTAATTTCCAGACACCACTCAATTGAGCTACGCCCTTGGTTTTTCATCTTCTGGGTTTAAATTTGCTGAAAAGCTTTGCTCAATTAGATCTCGTTTTCAAGTGACCTGTGGAGCTCGCTGATCTAGGTCCATCGTTTCTTTCTCATGCTTGGTCTCCACGATAAAAGCCAGATCTGACCATTATTGGTCCGAAGAATTCTAGCTCATTCTCTATTAGTTACTTTCGGGGCTACACCAGTGGTAGCGGTGACGGCCCTTTTTGGTTTTTGGGTCGTGGTAATTTTCTGTATTTTTAGGGAAATTCTCGAAGTTGTTGGAGACAAGTTGGGCGCACGAGCACTAGCAAAGGAGAGCAACATGGGCGAGCGTCAGCAAAGGGCGGTGGGAAGCGGTGCGTGAGCTTGCAAGTACATCGAGTAGTGCAAATCAACACAGGTTTGGTTCTCGGGAATTGGTACCTCCCGTTCTACTGTTTCCCTTTTGGTGTTAGCTAAATTGATGTTACTTTAGTTCACAATAGTTAAATCATTCAACTAGTGTACTGGTAGTCACTTGTTTCCTTCTAGTTTGATTCGTTGTCCGTTGTGCTCTAGCGAGTCTTCTTTAGATTTTCCGTAGGTGTAGTGGCTGCAGTCTAGGATGATAGATTAAAGGCATGTCCTCGGATGGGGCAGAGTGTGGGGCAAAGGGTGGGGCCGGGGTCAGGGTGTGGGTCGGGAGGCAGGGGAGGTAGANGAATATAGGTTCAATAACGAGTAAGTCTATAGAGTTGGCGAACATCCTTCAGAAGAGGAAGATTAATATAGTGTGTGTCCAGGAGACTAGGTGGGTCGGATTGAGGATGAAAAACATGGATGGGTATAAGTTGTGGTACTCTGGAGTCGTGAGGGGTAAGAATGGAGTGGGTATCCTGGTAAATAGCCATCTTAGAGAGTCGGTGGTAGAGGTCACGCGTGTGAATGATAGATTAATGACTATTAAATTGGTGGTGGGTGAGTGTACTTTAAATGTCGTTAGCGCGTACGCGCCGCAAGTAGGCTTAGATGAGGAGATTAAAAGGCTCTTTTGGGAGGGGTTTGATGACATCGTTCGTAGTATTCCGCCTTCCGAGAGGTTATTCATAGGAGGGGATTTCAATGGTCATATTGGGTCGCCTGTAGGTGGTTATACTAAGGTTCATGGCGGCTTTGGTTTCGGGGATCGGAATGGAGGGGGCACTTCGCTACTGGATTTTGCCAAGGCATTTGATCTAGTGATTGCGAACTCAAGTTTTCCGAAGCAGGAGGAGAATTTGGTTACTTACCAAAGTTCGGTGGCGAAGACTCAGATTGACTATCTCCTCCTCAGGAGATNCAGAGGTGTTAGGGATATCTTCGGGCCGCACCGGTGGCCACAAATGAGACTGGTGGTGTAATGCAGTTGTCCAAGGTAAAGTGGAAGCGAAGAAGGTGGCTTACCTGCGGTTAGTAGGGAGTACTGGCGAGGAGGAGAAGAGAGCGAACATTGCGAGATATAAGGTAGCTAGGAAGGAGGCGAAGATGGCAGTGACTGAGGCTAAGACGTCAACTTTTGCTCATTTATATGAGGAATTAGGGAACAAAGGCAGGGAGAAGAAGTTACTCCGACTTGCTAAGGTGAGAGAGAGGACGGCTCGGGATCTGGACCAAGTAAGGTGCATAAAAGATGATGACGGCAAAGTTTTGATGGGGGATGACCAGATTAAGAGGAGATGACAGACCTACTTTCATAAACTTCTAAATGAGGAAGGGGATCAGGATATTGTACTAGGTGAATTGAGGAATACCGACAGCCCCCATGAATTAAGTGATTGTAGGTACATTGAGGTCGGTGAGGTCATGAAGGCAATGCATAAGATGAGAACGGGCAGAGCTATCGGGCCAGATGAAATTCCGGTTGAACTTTGGAGGTGTGTGGGTAGAGCATGCTTGGAATGGCTTACTAGGTTGTTTAATGTTATATTCAAGACTAATAGGATGCCTGAAGAGTGGAGGTGGAGTACAATGGTTCCGTTGTATAAGAACAAAGGCGATATCCAGAGCTGTAACAACTATAGGGGTATCAAATTACTAAGTCATACCATGAAAGTCTGGGAGAGAGTGGTAAAAATGAGAGTGCGAAGGACGGTGTCTATTTTCGACAACCAGTTCGGGTTCATGTCGGGGCGATCTACCACAAAAGCTATCCACCTTATTAGGAGGATGGTGGAACAATATAGGGATAAGAAAAAGGATCTCCACATGGTGTTTATCGATCTAGAGAAAGCGTACGATAGGGTTCCTAGGGAGGTCTTATGGATATGCTTAGAGGCTAAAGGGGTCCCGGTTGCCTACATTAGGGTGATTAAGGACATGTATGATGGAGCTAAGACTCGGGTTAGGACAGCAGGAGGCGACTCCGAGCATTTTCCGGTTGTTACGGTGTTACACCAAGGGTCTGCGTTCAGCCCTTTCCTATTTTCCTTGGTGATGGATTCCATAACGCATCATATTCAAGGGAAGGTGCCATGGTGTATGCTATTTGCTGATGATATAGTCCTAATTGACGAGACACGACGCGGCGTCAGTGAGAGGCTAGAGGTTTGGATACATGCCCTTGAGTCAAAAGGTTTCAGGTTGAGCAGGACGAAGACGGAATACCTCGAGTGCAAATTTGGGGACGAGCCGACGGAAGCGGGAGTGGAAGTGAGGCTTGATTCTCAAGTCATCCCTAGGAAGGGTAGTTTCAAGTACCTTGGGTCAATTATTCAGGGGATCGGGGAGATCGACGAGGATGTCACACACCGTATAGAGGAGGGGTGGATGAAATAGAGGTTAGCGACGGGAGTCCTATGTGACAAGAAAATGCCACCGTTACTAAAAGATAAATTTTATAGAGCAGTGGTTAGGCATCCATGTTGTATGGGATCGAGTGTTGGTCGGTTAAGAACTCACACATCCAGAAGATGAAAGTTGCAGAGATGAGGATGTTGAGGTGGATATGCGGGCATACAATGAGGGATAAGATTAGGAATGAAGATATTCGAGAGAAGGTGGGTGTGGCCTCCATGGAGGACAAGATGCGTGAAGCAAGACTCAGATGGTTCAGGCACATTCAGAGGAGGAACACTGATGCACCGGTGAGGAGGTGTGAGCGACTGGCTGTGGTGGGTACGAGGAAAGGTAGAGGGAGACCTAAGAAGTATTGGAGAGAGGTGATCAGGCAGGACATGGCGCGACTTAGGGTTACTGAGGACATGGCCCTTAACAGGGAATTGTGGAGGTCGAGTATTAAGGTTGTAGGTTAGGGGGAAATTGTGAATATTTCTACTGTGCACTAGAGTGAGACTAGCCAGTTAGGAGTTAGTCTTAAGATGCTACTAATCAACTACTGATAATGGGCTTTATCTGTTGGTTATTAGTATACTTTACATCTTTCTCGTATTTCTTATATTTCTTATATTGCTGTTATTTTGTTATTTTATGGTATTTTATGTTATGTTATGGATTTTATGTTATTTTATTATGAGTATATTGATAGTACTAATATAGCGTCTCTTGTTGCTTTCTTGAGCCAGGGGTCTCCTGGAAACAACCTCTCTGCCCCTCGGGGTAGAGGTAAGGTCTGCGTACATATTACCCTCCCCAGACCCCACTTGTGGGATTATACTGGGTTGTTGTTGTTGTTGTTGATTGCTTCTTAAGGCATTCAACTTTGGACTAAAACGAACAAGAAAATAAGGTTCTAAAATGTCGAAAGTTCGAACAAAGATTTGTTTGAATAAATATGAAGTTCATTCTTAAATTTGACGGCCAAAGTTTTTAAGTGCTATTGAATTCTTTTATAGTTTCATTTAAGATGAACACAGAATTTTACAGGGAAAAATATGTTCATATTAAATGCTCGCATATAAAGCGACACATGGAGTCGAAGGCAGAAGGCAATCAGGTCCGAAGGCAACAATCTCGTTTGTTCCCGAAGTGAATGATGTTCATAAAGGCGAAATAAATATCTGTCACCCGGTAACATTTAATGGAGAATATTTTATAGCATTAAGTACATAATCTGTTATAGAGAATATGACATTCACTGTCTACCGTTACACATTCTTTAATAGCCCTCATAATTGTCATTTAAGAGAGGCTTTATCCTAGGATCTTGTTACTTGGTACAACTATAAATAATGAGCTCAACATCCATTGTAAGAGGGGAGTTTTCTCAACAAAAAAAAACTTATGCTATACATTGTTCAAAGCTTAATAATATTTTATCTACTTATTAATATCGTTAATGCTGCATCCGGAAGCTCTGCTCCTGGAAACAAGATTCCTGCTATCTTATCTTGATTTCAACGCTAAGTTTTACATTCTTGTTTAATGTATTTATCATTTTTGGGATCAAATCGATTTACTTATCTATAAACCACGTATAAATTTAAATGTACCATTTTACGGATAAACAGTTTGACGCTCACCGTGGGGCTTAGACAGTTGTGTAATTGAGTTGATCATTGCATCTATTACTAACTTGTTTGATTCATTGTTCTTAGAAAAAATCATAGAAAATAGTAGATAACGATGTCAACATCGTACACAATGTTGAGGCCCAAGTAAATCAGCCTCGACATGAAGATTCGATCAGTGATACCCGCAACGAGTGGGATAAGGCCACGCCGGTCCATCGCAGGCAATATTCGCGACATGTTTGAGAGACAACTCCTGATGATGCTAAAGACGAGTATATCGCTGGAATAGTAAGGATCCTGAGGGGGCAACAAAAAGACATTATGGGTCATCTCTCATGACAGGATCAGGTCATGGCGGAGTTGACGCATGCGTTGTCGGGTGCTTCCAAAAACGCGAATGGATGAGGTCCAGTTCCTCCTGGTGCTCCCATAAACCAAACAATATAGAGGGTCGATAACAACACCCTGATGGGCGAAGTTGGCTTCGACAGGGCCAGGGGAAACAGTAGCAGATCCGGGAACAACAATGAAAATTGATCCCTTTAAAACCAAACTTATATGGTTTATGAGGGAAATAAACCACGAATGTATCAATTTCCGAGCGCACCACCCGTATTGAAAGAATCGAACTCAAAGAAATACACTCAGTTGATGTCCAAACCAAGTGCGACACCAGAATTGATCCTGAAGTGGTTCAAAGTGCTAGAAGTGTCGAAGTATGATGGGACTTCGGATCCTCAAGAACACATCACCACCTACACAACGGCGGTAAAGGGGAACGATTTAGCTCCATACGAGATTGAGTCAGTTTTACTGAAGAAATTCGGGGAGACCCTCACGAATGGGGCCTTAACATGGTATTCACTCCTATTCGAGCACTCAATAGATTCCTTCGATATGCTCACAAATTCTTTTATCAAAGCCCATGTCGGGGCTAGAAAGGTACATGCTCTAAAGGCCGACATATTCGGGATCGCACAAGAAGAGTCTGAATTGTTGCGGGAGTTCATGACTAGATTCCAGAAAGAAATGATGTTGCTGCTGACCGTATCGGACGGATGGGCAGCTGAAGCATTTACTAAAGGGTTGAATTCGAGAAGTTCCGACGCTTCTCGGAAATTGAAAGAATGTTTGCTCGAGTTCCAGGCAAGAACGTGGGCAGACGTTCACAACCAGTACGAGTCGAAGATTAGAATTGAGGATGATCAGTTTGGTTTCCCGACATCAACCAAGGGTCGGGACCAGGAAAAGAATAGATTCGCTACCGATAGGAGAGCTGATCGCGACCGGAATAACTGATCACTGCAGGACAATGAGATATTGGGTTCCCGGGACTCCTCCTACCTTAGGCTTAGCGAATACAACTTCAACTTCAGCGTGGTAGAGCTAGTATCGGCTATGAGTAACATTAAGGAAGCACGGTTCCCGAAGCAATGAGATTTGATCCCAGTCAAAGGGATCCTAATTTGTAGTGCGAATACCATAGGACCAACTACCACCGAATAGGAGACTACCGGCAATTACGCTAGTAGGTGGAGGTATTGCTGAAAAATGACCATCTTAGAGAATTCTTAAGCGATTGGGCTTAAAACAACTACGGTTGCAATCGTGATAATGCGGAACCCTCAAAAGCAGGAGAAGAACCTCCTCGTATGACAATCAATATAATTTTTTTTTTGGGGGGGGGGGGGGG